AAGCCCAACTCCAACTCAAACTCCCACCTCTGCCTCTGCCGCTACCTCTGTCTCTACCTCTACCTCTACCTCCAATACAACTTCAGCCCCTAAAACAGCCCGCTCAATCGGCCGCACTCGAATCCCAGTAGCAACATACTCAGCCTTCCTCGTCCGGGATGCTCTCACAATCTTTGGCTCCTTCAGCCTCCCCGCCATGGTCTCGGCATCAATCCCGGACTCTATCGCCTCTCAAGAATACCTCAAGATCCTGATTGCGCAGCTCGCTATCCCAGCCTCTATCCAACTCATCAGCACACCAATCCACCTACTCGGTCTGGATCTATATAACCGGCCACAGGTGATGCCGACCAAAGAACGAATCAGTCGTGTCAGTCGCGACTGGATTGGCGCGTCACTGCTCCGCATGTGTCGTATTATCCCCGCTTTCGGAATTGGCGGCTTCGTCAACACAGAGGGCCGGCTTTACTTGCATGATCAAGTTGGTGGTCGAAAGGGATCTTGAGATTTCTTTTGGACTTATAAATTATAAATATACAGATACAGCTATAGATATAGCTATAGATACATAGACAAATATACCCTTTCTTTTTTTTCTCACTTCAATTGTTCGTCTTGTGTGTGCCTTATCCGCTATCTCCCCCACTCCCGACATCACCGGCCCGGTTGTAGGCGCTTCAACTCGGATCGGCAAAGGACACAAACGTGAATTTTGGACTTTTTCGTTCGAGTTTTTTTTTCTTCGGGATTTTTTCGGTTGGAAAATGAAAATGACGTTATTGGGGCTGAGTTTGTTAATATCGGGCTGGAGATACATCGCTCGCCTAGAAGAGGGCAATTTCGGTTGGAACTATACTGCCGATTTGACTACATGGCGTAAAATGGTGTGTGGAAACCAGGTTAAAAAGGACCTTTGGAGAAAAATTCAAGTTACTTATTCCTGAACAATTAGACCTTGGGACTACAAACTATCGCATTTCGTAACACGTAGTTATTTGTCTATACTCGCTTAACAAAGAAACAAGGCAAAGATGGCTAAATTATTGGAAAAATAACATCCATGGATGTCTTCCAAGGTGATTAGCTCATTTCCAATGTTTTTTTATCTTACAGTATACTCCATAGCAGCAAATTCCTAGACCAACCTATTGTTAATTTACGCAATGTATAAACGGCCTAGGCCCTACAGAAAGACGACCAGTCTTGCATATGCCAGAATGTACCTCCCCAAACATCTACGCTCAGCGATGACTTTTCCAAAGTCGTAGAAATTTATTTTTACCAGAAGGCTCGGCATGTTTCAAAAGTAGTCTCAGAGCGATGAGACTATGGCATTTCGATATGTCTATCTCTGCTGGATGAAGATAAATTCTAGTTTTTCCCGGGCTTGCGCCGGGGGCATTCCAGCATGGTCGAAAATACATTCGCTTTCCATGCAGCCAATTTGTTCGCTTTCGCTCATTCAGAGGAATGACTCAATGTAGGCGGGGCAGCGCGGGGTATTCCATGGCGAATTACCGATTTAGCTAAGCCTCAGTCTCAGCGAGGAGGTCAAAGCTTGAGCGACAGGCGCGAAGCGAATGCTGGCCGTTGCGTCGCTATTGGCGACAGTCGAGTGAGACCACTTCAGATAGTGATCGCCCCACGCACAGCAAGGTGATATCGCAATATCGTGGGATGGACCAAGTTGGTCATTTGGCTTGGTAGAGGACCTTTCAGAGAGGTAGAAACACACCCAAGCTCATCGAACGTCACTGTCGATGGCTTCAGTTCCAGACGTGCGGCCTTTGGATCCCGAGCTGGTAGCTAAAGAGTCTGCATGGCTGAAATCGTGCAAGGCACGGCTCGGATCCACGAAAGACGGGTACTGCCCGCCGCCAGTAGTAAAAGACGAAGATCTCCACATGTGCTGGTGGGCGATATTGACCAGCTTGCCGAGGACTGCAATCTCGAGTTTCAGTTTGATGCTGTACAGCGTGGCCTTGAGGGTCGTTTGGTAGATATAGTAGTTCCTAAACTCGATAATCATCAACGCGATATCCATGAGGATACAAGCCACGTTGACGGCGAGCAGCTGCAAGATAGTCTTGCGACTAACATGGTCCTGATTCAAGCGCAGCATGCGATTTGTCTCCCACATGTACAACCCAGAGATGATAACCTCCTGCACGCAGAAGCCCGTCAGCTGTAGCTTCTCCATGACATCGTACCCCGCAACCGAGGCAGCAGAGCTGGAGAAGTTGGCCGCGTATGTGAGCACGGTTGTGGGTATGTGCAGCAGGAAAATGTTTGAGATGATCATAGTTCTCACCATGCGCAGTACGCGCAAGTTCTGGATCACCAGGTGGAGGCGCGAATATAGCACGAACGACTGGCCGGTTACCATAGTCCACCAGCCGATTGTTAACAGCGTGACGGGCACCCAAGTTGCAGTTGTGAGACCAAAAAATTTGATCAAGTAGCCGACCGAATATGGGAGAATTCCAACGCTGGCTACCAGCATACTCCAGAAATAGGGGCCTTCATAGCGTTTGAAGGTTAGGAAGATGAGCACGACTAGCTCGATCACGTTGTACCATGCGACTCCAACAAATGTTGCGATCGTGATACGGACACCAATACTGTTGCCTGTGTAGCTGCCGGTAATCCAGTTCCCTGGACTGGAATTGCTGAGTGAGGACATGACCTCATTGGGAAGATCTGATATGTTGAGAAGAAGAGAAAACACACGGACCGTGACGTGTTTAATTTTTTTTCTTAGTGGCGCGGGGTTTCCCCTAATTTATTGGAGGCTGGTTTCCGCGCCCCGGTCCTTGGCCCCCGAAGGGGTGCCAAGTGAGCCAAATGTAATAGTCGCCTGAATGTATTGTAAAGAAGATCAACAATTCGTCCACAAGGTATTATAATATGACCCACTTGCCGCGTTTCCTTTGATGATGCGAGGGGTGACAATTAATATTGTATACGAGATACTGTATTTTGCTTGGGTTCTCGGTCTATTTTTTTAAGCCGAGGCTGAGACTATGTTGTAGATTCGTATTTTTATACGGTGTACGAGTACAACTTTCCCAGTTATAGATGTCAGCACAGGTTCAGATGTAGAGGAACATTTGATCACGTGTAAATAGCCTTATTAAATGCTTGGTGAGTGCTTATTACATGCCCAGGTGCTTATGTGCTTATACGATGCTTGTTATACGCGGTAATTAGACGTTCCCGAGGTTACTGATTAAATACCAAAAGTACCCAAAATGTAAGCATGAATGTGACGGATGTCAAAGATGAAGACCAAAAACAGGGTCATGTTAGTCGACGGTGGTAGGAAGACGCTAGGTAAAAAAGAAACCTTTAAAGTATACAAGAAAGCACGCGAATCGTGAAAATCACGTAGTATTTACCCAAACGATATCAACCACCTTATATATCCCATCTGCGCACGCCATCATTCAAAACATCTGCGTTCAAGTTATCATTCAAGGCGCCTTCATCCCAAAAGTCTTCTTGAACAAAGCCTCTCGCCCAGAACCACTCGTCAAAATCGAAGTTCAAGTCCAAAGCCTCCGCAACATTTCCTACCTGCTGCTCTGCCGACTCTTCCTTTGAACCCTCAACGGATGCCACAGGACTCCCTGCCGTTATTTCTGACGTCCAGAGTTCTGTCGCCGGATCAACCATCCCAGATCCAATGGTGATGGGATACTGAACCTCCCTCTCTGTCTTGCCCTCACTTACCTCCCTCTCAAACTCTCTCATGTACGCGCCTAGTGTAAGCCCCATCGTCCTCTTGAACACACGGCAAAGATAACTCGGCGTTACACCGACCTCTTGTGCTAACTCCTTCAGGCCTCGCTTCACTGTCTGATCATGATCATCCCGCTTAGTCCGCAAAAGCGCTAGAACCCTTGTGACAACCTCCTCCCTCTCTCCAACGAAGCTCGCATTATCTGGTTGACATCTCTTGCATGGCCGGTAGCCATCGCATCGCGCTTGGTCTTCTGTGTCGTAAAATACAACATTGGCTCTTCGAGCAAGGCGTGCGGGACAGGTCGGGCGGCAGTAGATCTTGGTAGATTTGACGCCGTAGAGAAAGGAAGAGTGGGAGGAAGGAGTGCGGTGTGTGAGGGCGCGCCAACGAGCATGGGAAGTTTGGAACTGATCGGGACCCACCGATGTCGAAGGTTGTGCTTGCATAATGAGAGGACTATATTTTTACATCGGAATATAGGGACATAGGATGACGTTAGTAGGTTTTCCCCCTTGGAATACTTCGAAGGTTAACTCTCCGGGACCTCGGGGCTTCCCGAGATTGCGGAGGTGGCGCATTCTAAGGTTTGCCATGGAGACTCACCGCCCGGGGGGGAACAGGTCTCTTCCCTGCGATCATCAATATTATTATTATAGATGTTTCGAGGTCCAAATTCACCTATTGGTAGGTTGGGATCTACAAGAACATCAGCAACTTTTAAGATATCTAATTATAGACTCTCGGCCGAGCGCTATACCTACTCTGGCCTTGGTGCAGCGGCCCACCAGTACCTTACATGATTATTGATAGGTACGGCCCAGGACAGCTATGATACTCTAAGGAGGCTTATCGTGGCGGGAGTATAGGTGCTTATTGGATGGATTAAGGATCCCAGCCCAAGGCCAACCTGGGCTAGAACAGATGCTAAGCCATGTATGCTCTACGCTCAGAAATCTCAAATGGAGAGCGGGTGGTTTGGTTTGCCAATATGCATCTGAAGCAGTTTTGACGTGATTTTATTCATCTCGTACTGTGAAGAAGAGGAAGAGGAAGGTGCTGTACTATTTCACTCATATTCACATATAAGAAGGTTATTGGTGAATATTGGCAAGATAGGGACCATCATGATGATCAAGGGAAACAGTCTCGGAAACGTGTTGCATTAAACATTTGTCCCAGTATATGAGAGTCATGACTGATCTAATACATTGTTACGAGCCTTTTATGGTCTTTGAGGCCACGAAACCCTAGAATTTTACCACTTTATTCTCCAATCTCTCCCCTTCACTTTGATCCTGACCCATAGAAAAGACAAAAGAGCGCCCACATAGCTGAGTCCAGCAAAAAGAGCGACTCCCCAATACTTTTCTTTCCCTGTGCCCTCCACCGCATCTAAAAGACCCCCGGCAATGGGGATACTTGCCAGTACTCCAAATGATACCACCGTAAAACAGCTCGCATAATATCGCCCATATTCTTGAGTTTCGCAAAGCTGGCCCAGGCATATTGGTGTCAAGCTAACATTTGAACCGCTGCAGAACCCAAACAGTAGGATAAAGACTACCAGTAATGCGTAGGAATCGAGGCCTGGTGCGAGGATATCTGGTAACCAAAAACCTAGAACTGATACTGTGCAGAAAAACAACGAGACAATCATGGTATTGTATCGGCCAAATCGATCCGCCATGTCGCCCGCCACGTATCGGCCAACGCACGAAGCAGCATTGAGAATCGCGAGAAGCTGGTATGCAAATGCCGACGATCCCGTCAGGGCCTCCTCGTCAGACAGATCCTGTCGATCGATATAGTACCGTGGTATGTAAGTAATCGGGATAAAGTATGCCAAATCCGTCAAAAGGACCCCGGTGGTTGTGAGTGCCATGGCTCCTGTTCCATCCAGGAAGATTTTATAATCTGGCAATGTATCTCGCCAAGTTGTTTCGGCTCCTTTTCGGGGAGGAATTCTGCTTCGGCAAAATGCCACGCTGGTAGCGCAGAGTACAAGAAGCACAAATCCGAGGATTCGGATCGACCATCCCCAGCCAACTTGAGGGAGGAGTGATTGTATCATCAGGGGAAAGAGAACACCACCAAAACCACCCCCTATGAATGCTATACCACTGGCGAGACCGCGACGCTCCATGAACCAATGAGCGACGGAGCCCATTGATGGGGTCAAGAGAAGAGATGAGCCGATGCCGGTCATAATAGAGAATGACAAGAAGATCTGGTAATATTCTATATCACCATTAGCAATCGAACATGTATATCGGCAAAGTGTACGAGCACGGACAATTGCATGTGGTATTAAATGAGAACCGATCTTACCTGTGGAGACACTGAGAGTGAAAATGCCAACTAGCGTGCAAATAGTCCCGGCGACCATCAGTGCACGCGGGCCCATGGCATCAAAGGTCGGTCCAATTTGTACTCCGCAGACCCAGTTTACGAAGGCGTAGACTGAGAATATCCAGCCAAGAGTAGACGAAGAAGCCTCCGGTAATATCACTTTAGATATAACGACCTCGAACACACCAGATGTGTTGTAGATACCCAGTGACGAGGTCAAGCCACACCACGCACCCAATACCACCAACCAAGCATCACGACCACCCTCGGGATAGGTAATTTCGATGTTGAGAGGTGCTAGATCGGCTATTGCGGGGATATGCGGCGATAGTTTTTCAACATCGGAGGTAGAAGAGTACTCGTTGCCAGTGAGTGTCTCTTTTTTATACGAGGCGTCCGAAGCATCCATCGTGGATGGACTATGCTTGGAAACTGGTGCCATCGTCTCTGGGTGGTTCATTTTTCAAGTCTTGGAATCATCTGTAAATATTAAGGGGAGAATGCAATTGCTTGATACCAGTAAGCTGCAGTCTTTGCAAGTTTTTTTTGGTAATTTTCTTTTCTATGTCTTCCACGGGGATAACGGCAGAGGCAATGAACAAGAATTTGATTAAAGAGCGCGCAACGAAACAAATAAAGCATAATATACCTTTCTGGTATGTCCTGGATGTGTCCAATCAATGGTAGGAAATAAAACCGAACACATAGTGACCAATTAGAACAAAAGACTGAAGGTGTACTCAAAGTGGCCAATTATCAGTCCGCTCGGGTTAGGCACAACGAGATCGGTTTAGTTCTAAATGCGATTTTATGCGACACCCACTCCACTTCGTGGTAGATACACAGCACGGTGAAGTCTCTAGGGCTCTCAGATACCCAAAGAATTAGCATTTGTGCTTCCCTAAACAAGTAGTTAACTATATATTAACTACGTAGGTCGTTCGTTAGAGATCCTCTTCCGAATCGCCTTGGTGTATTCTAAAATTGACCAATTAACAGTGAGTTACCTAAACTATGTACTCATAGTAGCCAATTAAAACGACGTGTAGGCTTTGTAATGTATTCAAAGTGGCCAATCAGTAAGTCACGCGAGAGTTCCCGGGTGGGTACTTATATATCAGGTGCAATTTGAATAAATCTACTCGGTATAAAGCTTTCATGTTGATGGTATAGTATGCTACACTGAACAAAAGCACAACATCGTAGATCAATATAAATTAGAAGAGGCTCTGCTAGACCTAGAGTGGCGGAGTATCACCAAACACGCTGTCCATCATCCTAAAATAATATTAGCAACAAGTTGACATGGATTACAAGTACAAACTCACCCAGCAGGATACCGCGATCCAGGGATCTCAGTCCGCGCGATCAACTCTCGGATATCTTGCAGCTCCGCATCTGTCAAATGAAGAAAGACGGACTGGATATTCTCATCAAGATTCTTGGTAGATCTTGTTCCGGGAATAGGGATGATGTCAGAGCCCTGAGCAAGAAGCCATGCGATAGCAACCTGGGCAGGAGTACTGCCGTGGTTATTGGCAATATCTTTCAGCCCTTGGACTAGTTCAAGGATCTTCGGGAAGTGTTCCTGCGCGTACTTGGGCAGCTTGCGGCGGAAATCATTTTCGGGAATATCAGAGAACGATTGAATTTGTCCAGTCAAGAGACCTCGGCCAACGGGGCTGTATGCAACAACAGTGATACCAAGTTCACGGCAGGTAGCCAGAAGATCGGTGGAGGACGATTCAATGTTCAAGGTGAACGCACTGTATTCCACCTGGTACGCGGCAATGGGGTGAACGGCATGGGCACGGCGCAAAGTTGCGGCTGAACATTCAGACAATCCAAGATGCTTGATTTTGCCTTGGCTGATAGTTTATCAGTTCTCGGGCCTCTTAAACCAATGGGGTGTGACTTACTTCTTCAACTCAACCATAGCCTCGATAGTCTTCTCAATGGGTGTCACGCCATCTACCCGATGACAGTAGTAAAGATCAATAGTCTCAACTCCAAGTTTCTTCAGACTATTCTCACAAGCAGTCTTGACATACTCTGGGTCAGAGCGGACTGTTTGACCACCTGTGGCGGCGTCGTATTGAATAGCAAACTTGGTAGCCAGGAAGATATCATCGCGATTTCCTGACCTCTTCACCCACTCCCCCACTGCGTCCTCGCTGTCAAAGTACATGTCGGCTGTATCCCAGAATCGCGCACCGATCGAATGGGCATGCTCGAGGAAAGCTACCTTGTCTTCGAGGGAACCGGCAAATCCATAGACACTACCGAGGCTCATGAGTCCGAGACCAATTGCGGGGACTTGAGGGCCATTACGGCCAAGGGATCTAGTTGGAAGAGACATAGCTGAAATGATAAAGAGATCCCAGATGAGAAGAAGTGAGCAATATAATTGGAATATTGCAAGGGAAAAAAGACAAACCAGGAATCAGCGGGGCTTTTTATATTTGTACACGTAGCACAAAAAGTCTCCTCAATCCTAATTTCCAATGATCATTGAGTCTATCCACAGGCTGAGTGCATTAGAATGGACGTCATTCACAGCCCTGAAGCGATATACTTTCCAAGGTTAATTGCTCAAGTGGAGACCGTTTAATACCTTTTAGCCAATCAAAATACATTAAAACCGAGCGCACCAATCCTATATTGGCGTAGTTAAGGATTAACTCCGATCAGTTCCACTCCGTGTAACCCGATCCATGCCAAGCACACCACCGCCCATTGGTACGTTTGGCATGGGTTCCAAGGTTATCCACAATTGATATTTCTTGTTCGTAGCTGACCCCACCTGTGTTGTGTTTCAGCCAGCCGAGATTGCATTGTTGCCTTATTCCTCAACGGCAGATATGCACGGACAAGTCCCATTCCGCAAAAAGTCCAAAACAGGCTGCAAAACCTGCAAGTAAGTATTTGCCCATGCTCATTTTAGCTCTGCCTAATTGGGTTAAGGATCCGCCGGGTCAAATGTGATGAAGGCCGACCAGCTTGCCGACGCTGTGTATCAACCAGCCGAGTCTGCGACGGCTATGGAATTTGGGGGGAGGCGGAACTCCATATGGGCAGCCACAGAGCAGCCAGGCTCTATCAGTTTACTGCACACCAGTTCCAGCTGGCAACCTCGGCCACGAGGAACAGCTGTGCTTCGACTGGCTGATCAAACGAACTGCAAGGAAGTTCGCTGGTTTATTTCCTTCCGACTTCTGGGAGTCCTTAATTTTTCAAGCTAGCGCTCAAGAACCCGCCGCGCGCCATGCTGTCATTGCCTTGGCCTCTACGCATCGGTTCCAGCAGCGATATGTCACCGGGCTAAATAAATATGATGTGGAGCGTTTCACTCTGCAGCAATATAACAAGGCAATTCAACATCTACGCACCAATACAACCAACAATAGCTATTCTCTCCGGGTAGCGCTGATTACATGCATGCTCTTTATCACTCTAGAATACATGCGCGGACAGTATCAAATGGGGTGTGCACATCTCCAATATGGCATGAAGCTTCTCTCCGATATATCCGCAACACGTTCTCCATCATCCATGGTGCCGACCATTGTACCCCCCGAAGAAGATTTCGCCTACAACGCCCTAGTCGACGCCTATTCCCGACTAGGTATTCAATCAGCCATGTTCGGTCATGTGCATTCACACATGTATCTTGTAACAGCAGACCCGCAAACCGCTAGTCTCCCTTATGCATTCACCTCCCTCCTAGAAGCAAGACGCAGCCTAGACGACCTCTTGAACAGAGTCCACTGCCTAAAAAACCATTACCACAACCACCACACATCCCAGACCCCAACCGGCAACCAACAAATGCTCAACACACAAAGCAAAATCCTCGCAGACCTATTCCTCTGGCGTAAAACATACACTGTCTCGGTCGCACACCTCGAAACCAACAAGTTATCAGGGAAAGACCAAACCGGGTACCTCCTCCTTCGGGTGCATCACGAAATGGCCACAATGATGGCGTCAGCCTGCCTCTTGCCAGACGAAGCGGAATCCGAGCTGATCTTCGACGGCTTCGTGGAGAACTTCATCAGGATAATGACTGGCTTCCTCGATATATGGAAAAGCTGGTCAGCAACAGCATTCCACGGAAATGATCTCTCTAAGATAGCCAGCGCATCCGACGAGGTGAAAGACACCTTCCAGAACTTCAAGGAGGTGTCAGACATGAATACGATCCTAGAAGCTTCTCTACTAGACCTTCTTGAAAAATCCTCCATAGTCAACTACTATATGCAGTCACTGGACTGTACTAGGAACGGGTTCACCGTTGAGATGGGGTACATCCCGCCTGTATATTACACGGCTATCAAGTGCCGTGTTCCGCGGATCCGACGGCAGGCTGTGAGGGCGTTAAGGGCTGCGCCGCATCGGGAAGGCCTGTGGAATGGATCGCTTTTGGCGGACGTTGTGGAGGAGATTATTAAGGTTGAAGAGGGGGGCTTTTATGCTGGCGATGTCTCCGTCAATTCGTCTGTCGGGTATATTCTGCCTCGGAATGAGGATTTGCTTGTGCCAAAGGTGCCGGCCGAGGCGAGGGTCTCGGATGTTAGGGTTCTTCTGCCGGTTGATGTTGGGGGGCATACTTATGTTACTTATCGGAGGAGGAGTGGGGGTGAGTGGGTGACTTTTAAGCAGAAGATTGGCACGTAGGTATGTAGGTAGCAGTAACTACGTATTAGGTTTTTAAGTAGTCAGATGAAAATCTGTGAATGCTGAGTGTATACTTAATAATTTTCAAATCATGATCTGGTTACACTGAGCACCCCGACTCAGGTTGTGCTTTACTAAGTACTTGAGACTGCGCTGAATATCCATGCGCTTCAATATTTTATTGTTTGATTCGGAAATTCGCAACGAACTGTCCGGGTCAGAGGGTTAAATCCGATGTATATGGCATGCGGTAGTCCTCTCTTTCGATCATAATCTTCTTTCATTGTTTATTGTACAATTTTTATGTCACAGCCGAACGGCCATGGGTCGTAATTTCGTAACATGCTTTCCAGTATCCATAACACCCCGAAGATCTTGTCTTCTGCTTTTGCCAAATTCATAATGACTGAAAGTCTCATGCCTTGCAAAACCATGTTACTTCCCGCTTACCTTCTGACTTCGCAAAAATGCTGCCACCTGTTCATGCCTCGTGACAAAGAACATGCGTTTCCGATCTGACTTCCAAACCAGCACACCAATCTCCGCGGCATACTGACAAGGGGCCTGGTATTCGGTCAAGCTGGTGAAATCCTTGAACAAAAAGCCCGCCGTGGCCCGGAGGCGGTCCCGCTCCAGCTGCCACAGTCTGATCTGATCTGTCACAGTAGGCGGGAGCACAGATGCCGGGATACCCTTGCCATTGGATTGAGCAGCGCTATGTTTTCGCAGTTGTGGGTGCGCATGCGATAATAGATATGAGATGATTTGATCGGCAGTGATTCCCATCTCGATGGCTCGACGGACAGACTGTCTAGTGATTTTTCCGGTGACCAGATTAGGGAAGCGGTATTTGAGGTTTGTGAAGAGGGATATGAGGGATATTTGTAGGGGTGATGAGGTGTAAGCGTAGAGCCGGTAGTTGGTTTCAATGATGATGAACCCAGAGCCAGGGCCACCAGATGGCCCCGCTGGCCCAGTGAGAGAGCTAGTCACAGGGTTGCTCAGAGCGCTCGAGTCAGATGTAAGTGTAGTTGCGAGACGGGTGGGATAAAAGCGTGTCGCGTCAGCGTTTTCCTGGTAGACAATACCAAAATCGGCGAGGTCCGCGAGGGTGCGAAGCTGGTTTGGTGTCATATGGCTTTTGTCGTAAGACGATCCGAGTTCCAGGCTGCTCAGGAGGAACAGGAACGAGAGAACCTCGACGCTATCCATGCCGATGGCTTCGGCGCTTTCGACATAAAGAATCAAGATATGCCAGACCTGGGTGTTCACGTCCTGGAGCACAAATCCGAACCCGTCTTTGGTGATGTCGACACGGTTGCCTCGGATCTCAACTAAGTGTCCCGCTTGGAGAAGCTGTTTGACACCCTTGCTCAAATTGACCGCGTCGCGCTGTCCACTCAAGGCACTGGTTCCAACCATGTAGCCCATAACACCTTCCCACTGTCGTCTAGCATATTCGTCCAAGTCGGCGATCGAGGTCAGGGTGTGTTCCGGAGCTTGGGAGAATACACCGAAAGAGTGAGAGTCCTCTGCACCCATCAGAGCTTGTCGAAGCGAAGCAGCGAATGGGTTAGTAATCATGTATGCGCGGACATTTTCGCTTGTGAGGGTCGTAGATAGAATGTGAAGTCGACCCAATATTGAAAGCGCATTATCCCGTTCCCTTTTGTGAACACTGTCAGTAATTATTGGAGCCAGACCTGTCAGATAAATCACTCACTTCTTGCTCTCTGAGTTGACCCAAACTTCCAGATCAGCTGTTGGAAGAGGGTCTTTGAGATATAGTAGAGCCATCACAAAGCATTTTGCTATATGCACTATTAGCACAACATTCCCTTCCGTGTGGGTGAGCTCAATGTACCTAGATCAGGCAGCATGCGCCGGAAGATCGCAAGGGCTGTGGATGGCTGTTGGTATAGCTTATAAAAAGTCGTCCCGGGGAGACCTTCCAGGTACTCCAGAGGACGGGATGTTGCACTCGCCATAGTGAGCTGTGAGAAACCAAGTTCTCAAGCAACTGAAGGGAAGAAAGTGTCTGGGTGAAGTGGTTGGATGAAATGACGCTGGTACGGTGACCGAAGCGGCCATAAAGTGCAGTTCCGGGGTGCTCCCGAGTCGCCGGGTGAAGTAGAATGTTGGACTTGTTAACTCCTCCCTATATCATTCCATCTCCAGGACATTCGTCAATTTGTCACTTTTTAGAAATGGCTTCTCTTAAATTTGTCCGCTCGGTAATTATTCAAGACCTTCATCGCCTATAATTCACTTCCTACTAATGCATATCACTATCTATAGGTCTGGGAGTCCTTCCGAGCTACCTCGGGTCTGGAGCCTCGGTATGGAATTCGTCCTAACTTACCTTTACCTTTGAGATATTAGAGAAGAACTAACATCTCACTTCAATTTGACTGAAGGCTATTGAATAATGCAAGTCCGAGCCAGTTTCCTAGCAGTTTCATCGATCTAATCACTGATCTAAACTATAGCTCCGTGTTACAGCCGCCAGGCCCGGTGTGGTCAACTTTGAGCTGGATATTCAGAAGGAGCATACAGTATGTCTATTTGTGCTGCAGTCTCTCTAGCAAGCGTAGTTGGGAACCTTTTTAAGGGCTCAACCTCTCACATTAAACGTCGTCTCTGACATCTATATCATTTAGAACCGCTTGAATATCCTCCATGGAGGCACCATTGCAAGCATGGGTAGGAGATCGTTCTGTGTGACACTCAATTCGTGATACTCGGCTAAAACATGCTCTAGTTGACCTCGGAGGCTCGTTGGCTGTGGCATCTCGCGGCTTGTTCGCGACGGGTGTGTCAACAGACCTAAATGGTAAGTTTATAAAATCGGTATCCCACCCAACCTCTCTGTTTCTAATAAAATCCTGTCTAGTCACATACTTGAACTCAGGTGGCAAAGTTGGTGACCGAATCCTGGCCGTATGTTTTTATCTATCCCTCACAGTCTTGCCAAACGGGTACTAACTTTCAACGTTAGGAGGTGACCTGTGATAAATGTACGCTATCTGACTTCTTCGTCGTATTACTTTTGTTTAATATGTTGGCCATCAACTAACTAGCCGCATTTAGTTGGCAAGACTCTTGCTTTCACGAACATCAAGTTCACGGACCCCAATGGACATGTCGTTGCCCGTGGGAGCCACACGAAGTGTGTACCCTATCATATTTCCGAAAATAAACTGCTAATATCGTTTAGATACGTGGCCCAGGCTTGGAAGGATCCCAATAATATTGTGGAGGAAATGAACAAGCTCAAGGACCAATGAGAGCGAAATCGGGTATTACGATCGATGAAACCGGAGCGTTTTGGTCGAACAAGTCTCACATTTACTTCAAGTCATTGAGAACATTGAAAGACGCCCGAAGAGAAGAGCAAATCCGAGTCGCCATAGAAAACTGATTATAGAACACAATGGGTCTGTCCATATCCCCAAGTGATACCATTCTACCCAAGACCAGAAATTCTACGCAAGTTTCATTTACTGAGTGTTGTCACGTAATAGATAGCCATGTAATCTGCAAAAATGAACTGCCCATTCAAGGGCCGTCTCAGGATGTATAGAAGCAGAAAATGTGGAATAGACCCAATCCAACAAATCCCTTTATCGGGTGCTGCTGTTACCATTTAACTTGCGAAACAATTCATACAATATCTTCATCTCCATCAACGGCTCCCATAGCCTCATCCTCATCCAAATAGTCATCTTCGCCAGCTGGCGCCGCATCCTCAATGATGATATCTCCATCACCCATAGCCTTGACCTTGGCCTGTGTCATCTCAAACACGTACTGTCCAAGATGCTCGACACTTTCCATCGGCGTGCCCTCAATAGCGGCGTTGGCTTCCCGCGACGACGGGAACATCTCGCCAGGCGCGAGCATGAGCTTATCAGGTCGTTGCAGAAGAAGATCGAATGCAGGCTTAAGTTCGTAGCACGATTCGAAGACTTCCCGTCGTCCGAGGATATACAGACCCAGTCGTGCGCGGGAGAGAGCTACGGTCAGACGGCGAACATCGCGCAGGTACCCGACGCTGCGAGTTCGGGTGAGAGAAAGGATCACGTCTAGAAAAATGTTAGCGATTCTGATATTTTGAGTGATGCAAACACGCTCTGGGAGGAAGTCAACTCACAATCATTCTGCTCTCCTTGGTAGCGATCCACTGTCGTCACAATCTTGGGCATTCCAAACAAGGGGTTTTTTCCACAGCGGTGACTCAATACATCCCGGATCAAAGCTGTTTGCCCAGCATACGTGGCTAAGATCGAGATTTTAGAAGCAGGATAGCCCAAGAGTCGCATGTACTGATACATGGCCACTGCGTACTCGGCTTCACCCAGATTCTGAATAAAGTGAGGTGTCGGCTCTCGCTCTCCAGAACCCTGGTAGTCGGGGACATTGATGAACTGGTAGTCGAACTGGAACCCGGCATTGGCCTGCTGGTACTCGGGGGCAGTTTCGACCACCGGAAGATCTCCGAGTTCCTTGTACCGCCAGCGGAAGAGCTCTGCAATGCTAGGTCGTGCGCGTCCCTGCTTATCCAAGTTGATCACCGGGACACCCAACCGCGCCAGTCGCAAGAAGAGACTTTGCTCGAAGTGAGCATATTGACGGAAAGCCATGTTTTGAATGATGGGCGAGTTCTGGTGGTGATCACCACAGAGAACAACACGCTTGAGAGGAAGTTCGCCGTTCTTCATGTTTTGTAGAGCGTTGGGGATGAAACTCTCAACTTCAGTAATCTGGGCCGCTTCTTCCATGACCACATTGTCGTAGTGGAAGCCTAGATCGGCAATTTCTTGCCGGCGCATAGCTGCGTGGGTTGAGGTCATCGCGATGATTCGTGCCTCCTTTACAAGGAGATAGTTCGCTTTATCGCGAGGTTGTTTCAAGATCTCGAATGGCCGAATATCCTCCAACTCAGAGAAAATTCGAGCGATGTGACGTTCGCAGCCTGCAGCAGTGTCGATGATTGCCTCCTTCGAGGCTTCAGCTTCGAATAGGGGCTGGGGAGCATTTGCAAAGTATGATTGGAACGGGAAGGATGCGACAATATCTTCATTTGATGTTCCTTCGGAATTGGCTCGATCCCAGAATTTGGCCCATGTTGGCTGCACGTAAACTGTATTGAAGTAGCCTGCGGTCTCGCATGAATTTCCATGCGCACCCTCGACCCCAATTGATGCAGCCAAGCGCATCACTTCTGACAGATAGTGATTGCGATTGTCAAGGAAGGATTCGACTCGACCGTACTTGCTGTAGTTGGAATCAGTGTCCAATTCTTCCTCGCCGTGACCCAGTCGCAACAAGTGCCGCTCATCAATATCAAGGGCAATGATTTTTTGGAATAATTGATTGAGGGCTTGGTTGCTGTGTGCAATGAGCAGTGTTCGTTCATTGGGGAAGTTATGATAAATGTTGTTAATGATTTGGGTGGTGACATCGGTCTTTCCAGTACCAGGCGGTCCCACAATGACGGTGAGCCCAGGCTGTGTTCCAGATGCGATGGCTTCCACTTGGGCCGGGGTGAATCGGATCTTGTTCAATTTTGGAGTGTCGACGGGGTAGGGGCCAGGGTTTGGTGGTTTGTATGTGGAAACACGCATACTGCTAGGCGCCACCTCTGTCTCTGCGGCTTGTTCTCGGCGTCGTTTCTTCGGCGCGTGAGGCTCTGCTGCAGACTCTTGGTTAACATATTCAATCACGTAGGGCGGGCCAAAGCTGGCATTCTCAGCCCCCGAAGGTTCAATGCCAGGGAAGCTTTCTACTAAATGAGACCAGTCCAAAAGTGTGTCTCGGAAGTCGACAGTGCGAAGTCTGTTTGGCAGCTGCGTGTATCGAGCACTAGCGGGATCTCCATAGCCCAGGAAGATGTCCTGGAGCCAGGAAGGAAGCGTCATATCAGAGACAATAAGCTTTTGCATCGTCTGCAGAATTGACTTGAAGTTATTTTCCCTGCCCTTTCTCCGTGCAACCACGTTGATGAGGGGGTAAATGTCCGGTTTGCCGTGGGCTTGCTGGTCCTTGTCGGCTTTGAATGCAGCCGCGTCCAAGTTTACGATCAATCTCCTCAATCGTGCTCTGGGCTGAGAGCCATTTGCCTGGCCAGTAGGTTGTCGCAATGCGCGGCCTTGCTCGTCAAGTACCTGTACGATCTCGGCCGTTCGGAGGTGGGTCATCCGAGGGGCTTCAGATGCACCTTGTTCCGATTGCGACGAGCTGGACTGGACCGCCAAAAGATAGACAACGTCATCGGGGCGGAGTGAGTCCCATTCTCTCCTAACATTATCTGCGAGTCTTCCCACTTCTATCGCGATCTCCGCTCGAACAAAGGCCGGGGTTGTTGCTCCGACCTTTGGTGGTGCGACATCAACGATAGCAGGCTTTGAAATTGGAATGGCCATTCGAGAGAATCCTTCGAATTTCAAGGTTCCATCGCGTGCTGCCTTTGGCTGCATGCGTTTAACGAGGGACTCCATGTCCTTGCGGATTTGGAAGAATGCTTCTGATCGGTAGAGAAGGAAGGAGCGCCAAAGGAAATCTCCAAGACTCAGATACTGGAGATTCAATTTTGGGATTGCCAGAGGCCTCGATCCGTCGTATGTCTCATTCCTCAGCAAGGCCGGGTCGTAGAGGGTTTCTTCCGTCGGAAGTGGACTCAACTTCTCGACAACTTCTTGGAAGGGCACCTTGCGTTCATAGGAAGATGCCAAGACTTCCAGGTAGAACTGACGGTCTGGAGTGACGTGCGAAGATTTTGGGTAGCTTGTGCGGAATCCTAGGTGAGAGCAAAGGCTCTGGAGTTCCGACTCGTCTAGAGAAGATAGCTGTCCCTCTAGATCCGCTCGCTGCGCAATTGACCCCATATTGGAGAGCGCAAGAATCGTGAGCTTGTCTTTGAAGAACTTCATTGAGGTTCTTTGCAGTTGGGCCAATTCCTGGCAATGCAGGTCGTAGACTCCCTGCGGAGAAAGAGCCTCACCAGAGTAATCATCAATTGCAAATTCGACAAAATGTTTGAGAAGGCTGTGGAAGTCGCGAAGGAGAGCGTTATCAGGCACACGGTAGAGCTGTGAAAGGCGAATAACCGACAGAAGGTTCAGGTCCTTCAACAGCGTGTTCACGTAGCGCCTGGTGGGAAGCTGACTTTCGAGATCCACCAAGAGCTCAAGGAAACGTTCACAGTATAGCAAGTTCTCGGCCTGGTCCTTTTCGGGTCCGTTCAACCTATGAAGGAAATCCAAGAGCATCGTATACAGCCATGAACGTTCGAATCGCATCTTTGCTTTCGCTGCTTCATCTCCAGCATCGTATCGCTTCGCAGAGGCTCTCCATGCCTTTTTCAGTGTTGGGGCCTTTGCAATAATACGGTCTCTAGTCTCCTCACTGGCCAGGTTGTGCCAGACCGAGATAGAAACAAGCGGCGCGCATTCTTTGCGGATCAGGACGTTCTCGAGCGACTGGAAGGCACTGATAATAAACGATATGATAGAGAGTCGAGAGCGAGTCGGAAGTGAAATATCAATGCTCATGGAGAGAATACGGTGGAAGAGATTGGAGAAGTCATCGGCGCGGTCGGAGAAGATATCTGCAACTGTCAGCTTCGCCGCATTATAGATCATATCACATTGACTCACCCCATATCGGCAAGTGCTCCCGGTGCTTCACGCTGACAATCAATGCAATCAACATTACATGATGATTCGACGCATCCTCTGTGTAAGTCGGCCAAAGGAACCTGGATAACAGTTAGCGTTAGCGCGGTAGGCATGAATGCAGATAACATACTTCTCAAGAATGTTCAAGTTCTCGAGGATCAACAGCGACCGACTGTTGAAAGCCTCTGCTTCCAAAGGATCCCACAATTGCTTCTTGATGACATCTGGTTTGGCCTTGCGGACCTTCGTGTTCAGCCAGTGGGCCTTGGCTAGCTGCACCCACGGGCTTTCTTCACGAAAGTCCACCACTGTAGGCCTGGATTCGAGACTCTGCGCCATCGCAGGAGTCAATAGTTTCCTTAACCTAATAAATTGGAGTTGGTCAAGGAGGGGTGGATTGGCGCAGCCGGGAACATGTGAATTGGTGAAGCTGGGGGAGCTTTTCAAAAAGTCTTGGCTTTCAATTCCGCCGAGCCGCAGTCCTCAATCAATCCGACCACTTTGTTTCCCACCTTCCTAACACCCATCTAAACTTTCTTCTTTCTCTTGTAACTAGTCTTTAAAGGACGATTGAAGAGACTCTTGAGAAGAAGCTGAAGACCGCAATCAAGGAAATTCCAAGGCCCCCAAAAACACGCTCGAGAAGACGCCTACGAACACGCCCGAGACGACAGTCCCAGTCGACACTTTGACACAACCCCTCAAGGGTCCCT